CGGCTGTGGAGAAGGCGGCTGTGGAGAAGGCGGCTGTGGAGAAGGCGGCTGTGGAGAAGGCGGCTGTGGAGAAGGCGGCTGTGGAGAAGGCGGCTGTGGAGAAGGCGGCCGGAGAGACAGCGCGGCGACTCGAACGGTCGACTCGCAGCCCCCAACCTCCGATCTGGCCCGTTTCCTTCGCTGACCGCACCTACCTCGAACTCGTCGACGACCCCGTTTGGAAGCACGCCGGAGGACCCATCTGGCAACCATTCGCCGGGAACCGGATGTAAGAGAAGGACTCGAGGTGGCGGGCGCACCGAGATGAGCAGCCTCGTCAAAGACAGCCGACAGGCCAGTCGACGGCGAGCAAACTTTTTCACGGTGGACGTTGGAGTTGTCGGCAGCGGGTAAAACGGGTTGTCAGGGCGCGGGACTAACAAACAGCACGAGCGTGTCGGGAGCATGGTAACCCTTACGTGAGTGCATACGTGAGTGGGGTCTCGGAAGATGGCATGGGTGGATGCGTCAAGAGTGCACTCACTTAGGTTGTGTCATAATATCCCTTAGCTGTTGGGTCTCCGCCCCCTCGTTGACTCCCCCCCCCGCCGTTGTGCTTCCAAAATTTTCGCGAAATGCGGGTTCAAACAAGTGTTGGACGCGGCGAGAGTCGGTACGTGTTGAATGCGATGCAGTTGTTGGTATGTCCCTCGGACCTAGCCAGTTGGGGTCCGGGTGTGGCCATGATAATACCTTCGCGTGTTTCGGAGCAGCGTTGTCGAAGCCTGACGTGGAGGCGTGTTCCCCCGATGTTTGTGAAGGTGGAGGACTTGCAGAGAGGTCTCGAGGCGCAGCCGGCTCTCCTGCATCCCGACAAGCGAAGCATGACCTTCCGTGGTGACTTTTTCCCCGCTTTCCGCCCTGATCAAGTCGTCGTCGTCGTGCCACCTGAACCCACCACCCCCGAGTTCTTCGTCAACCAACGCGTCAACCAACGCGTCAACCAACGCTTCCTCGGTCAACCTCTCTTATTCCAATCATCCGATCGCCGGCACGAATCCCGTCACGCCCAATTCGCCAAGCCAGCTCCGCCGCAAACACCGAAGCCTCGGCCCTGCACCCTCGACACTACGCCCACCCCCCTTTGGGCACAACCGCCCTGGCTCCGCGCTCAGTCACTCGCGCACACCGAGGCTGTCGCACGCGCACAGGCCGCCGCAGCCGCCGCTCTCGCCGCCCAGACCGAGCT